GCACTGCATGCATATCGAACATCAGTGTGTACCTCTATTGGGGCAACCCCATTTTTTTTAGTTTATGGGATGGAAGCTATACTACCAGTAGAGTGGAGATCCCATCCTTGACGGTCCTAAAAAAAATTGAGTTGGAAGAAGCTGAATGGATTCGAGAACGTTATGAACAGTTAAATTTCATAGAAAAAAAGAGATTGACTACATTGTGCCATGGTTAGCTATATCAAAGAAGAATGGTGAGGGCTCATGACAAAAAGATTCGACCCTGTTGCTTTCGAGAAGGAGAGTTGGTCTTGAAGAGAATCCTCCCAATCCAGCACGATAATAGAGGAAAATGAACTCCGAATTGAGAAGAACTATATGTGGTGATATGGGCTTTCTCAGGTGGAATGTTGATACTGACTGAGATGGATGGAAATGATTTACCCCATCCTATAAATTCTGATGCTGTGAAGAAATACTATGCTTGAAAAAAAAAGAAAAAAATAAAAAATAAAAATGAAAAAAAAATGAAAAAAAATGAATGAAAAAGGAGGACTCAAGGCGAAAACCCTAAAAGGACGGTTTAAGTCATAGAGGGTTTATCTAAGTTGAAAACCTGAAAAGGTAGCTTAGATAAAGAGAATACAACATTAAATTTGAAAATTCGTTAGCATGGAGACTAGCAAATTTGGAGGAGTTCTGAGTTATTAAATACATCAGATGGTTGGGTTTTCAGAAAAACCTTGAGATGTGTTATCATGATAATCCAATTGTTCATTTTTGGGCTTTGTCCCCCATACTTATCCTTGTAATTCTTCATTAGCCAAAGTTTGCCAACATTTTGCTAATAAAAGACATTCTATTTCACTCTTTGTGTGCTTCTTCTGGTGACTGTTTCTCAACCATTCTTATTCTTTTCTTCTTAATACCCTACAATGGAAGAATGTGCAAATGCATTCTTACTTTTTGAGTTTGAAATAATGATTGATGAATGAATAATGGCATGAAAGATTTTTACATTACATTGAATAAGTCAATAGTGATAAAGGCAAAATCGAGATGTTCAGTTCTTGATAAGGACATTGAATTTGGAAACAGATGGAAGAGATAGTTTAGAGTTACACTAGCTCAATCTTGAAAGAATAACGTAACTTGGTTTTTGAAGAATCAAAGGGTTCGATGCCTAAGAAAAAAGCTTGAGAAACTTGAGTACCATAATTGAATAGAATTTAGTTAGCCAACATTTGCATAGCATGCATTGAATTTCATATGCATTGCATAGCATATACTACATTCAAGAAAATATAGTGCATAAATTCAAGAAGTAGGGGTATTCCAACATCCCACATAGAGAAGACAGATGTGAAGACATTTTCAAATTTGAGAAAAAGCTTGTCAGGTAAGTTTCTAATTTTTGAAATAGGATGTCTCTTGGTATCAAGGCTGATTTGTAAGAACTTTGGGCATAATCTCTTGAAATTCCTTCAAACACGATTTTCAACTCCTTTGGACATGTTTGTCAAGGGGCAATCTATTTTTTGAAGTTGTGATGCCTCTGTTTAGAGGAGCCATTTATTTTCAAAGTTGTGATGCCTCTGATTAGAGGAGCAATTTACTTTCCAAAAGTCGTTGAGCCTCTGTTTAGAGGAGCTTTATTTATTTTCAAAGTCATTAAGCCTCTGATTAGAGGAGCTTTGTTTATTTTTTTTCAAAGTCGTTGAGCCTCTTATTAGATGAGCTTTATTTATTTTCAAAGTCGTTGAGCTTCTGTTTAGAGGAGTTTTATTTATTTTTCAAAGTTGTTAAGCCTCTGATTAGAGAAGCTCTTGTTTATGTTTTTCAAAGTCATTGAAGCTCTCTTAGAGGAGCTGTATATGTTTCAAAGTTCATGAGTCTTTGCTTAGAGAGCTCTTGATCAAATTTTAACGAAAAAAATTGAAAAAAAGAAAAGGGTTCGAGTGGATCTTAATGGGTTGTTCTACGTCTTTGCGTAATCTTTTTGTTTTCACAAAAAATGTGCAAAGAGGGCAGCTGTAGACACCCAATTTGCGTCCAGCCCGGATCAATTGGGCCTGGTCAAATGGGTAGGCCCATTTTATTTTTTTTATTTTTGTATTTTGTATTTTTATTTATTTATTTATATTTTTTTGTATCTTATGTATATATTTATTTATTATTACTATTTATTAATATATTTATTTATTTTTATTATTTATCTGTTAGTATATGTATGTATTTATTATTATTTATCTATTTATATATTATTATTTATCTATTAATATTTTTATTTATCTAATTATTTTCTTTTAATTATCTATTAACATTTTTTATTTGATTTGATTTTCTTTTTCTTTTTATTCGGCTGAGATTGGGATGGAATTTGAGAATTTTACTGTGGATTTAGGATTCAATTAGAGTCCATATTGGATTCAAGGATTGAATCTCAATCTAAGGAGGAGTTGAAATTGATCAAAAACTCTTTTGATCAATCCCTATAAATAGATCCACGAATCAAAGGACCAGAACACAGAAACGCAGACAGTGACTGAGAAAGAGTGAAAAGAGAAAGAAAAAGACATCCAAAAGGGTCAAAGGCAATTTTAGGATTTTTTAGAAATTTTGGCAAATTTTTTCCTGGAAATTTCTGGAAATTTTCCAGATTTCAGTTGAATTTTTTGACGAAGTTTTAAATTTTTTGATGACTTTTTTGGCCAAGTTTGAAATTTTCGGTGACTATTTCCAGAAACCAATTAGCTTTCCGGTGAACTTCCGACGAAAAACCCATATTTCGGTAAAAATTTTCAAAATCCGATGAGATTTAACCAGAGTTCTTTGTTTGTTTAGAGAGATGGGAGAGGAAAAGGAGGGAAGAGAGAGAAGAGAGAGAAGAGGAGAAGGAAATTCTGAAAAAAAATCAACCTTTAGCCTTATATAACTGACCTTCAGCCTTATATACCCTCCCAAAAATGACATCGTTTTTGCGTTTTTTGCGTTAGTAAACCCACAGGATCCGCGCGTTTTGCTAAGATCCAACCCAAGCGCCAACCCGTGTGCGACCCGCATGTGACCCGAGAGCAAAGCCGAGTCGAGCCGTTCCTAGGTTTTCTTTTCATTTTTTTTATTATTTATTATTTATTTATTATTATTATTATTTATTGATTAGATTAGAATTGTTTAATACTTTTATTTTTTTTATTTTCAATTTTATTTTATTTTTTTATTTTATTTTCTTTAAATAAAATTTAAAAAATATATTTTTGAGGAAAAGTTGAAAGTATCAATTTTTCTTAAAAATAAGTTTCAAAAAAATATTTTGGGGAAAAGTTGAAAGTATCACTTTTCCTTTAACAAAAGCAATGAATTTTTAAGAGGAAAGGATTTATATTTAAAGCAATCACTTTTTTCCTTTTTATTTTCTTGGATTTTCTTTAATGTTAAATAATCCGATGATGGAGCCTCTGCAAGTGAAATAGTAGTTTTCTTGCATTCTCTTGAGGTGAGGGAATTTTCTCAATTTTTTGCTAAAAGTATTAGAGTCAATTGAGAATAATTTCCAATAATTAATTACTTGGTAAATTTTTAAGGCTTATTGGATAACACAAAATTAAGCTGGTACCATCTTTTAATGGGCGTTGTGAGGGTGCTATAACCTTCCTCACACCAAACCGAACTCCCGAATCCTGTTCTTGTTAGTAGACCTGAACCTATTCTTTTAGGGACCTTTAAGCTTAAGTGTTCCTTAAAAGGATAAATTCCTTAGGTGGCCAATCGCACCTAGATAAAAAAGATTGATGGCGACTCCTTCAAGTCAATGTCTAGCGATAAATCCCTGGATCTAGATGTTATGACATTGGTTGGTTTAAACTAGTATGCATTTGTAGTTTAAAAGATATGATTTTCAGTTGGATTTTGTTTGACCGGCTTGTATTGAATAAGATGATAGAAATGTTTTGACTGTTCTTGAAGGAAATGCCACAGTTTTCCTATGGTACTATCTGTTTATTATTGCTTTATTTTGATTCTGGGTTTGCTGCTATGCATTGCTGATCATGTGAAATGGGCATTGTAGGGTTCTATTTCATTACAATCTGGTAAATTTTCAAATGTTAAAAACTAATGTTTCTCAATCTTTTATGTTTGGATTGTTGAAATTTGGCTTTAACATACTTGATATTGGGATAGGACTAAATCAATTTTTGAGTTCTTCAAGATTAATATACTGTTTCCGTTTTACTCTAAGGACATTCGTTTCATTGTGAATTACCTTTTTTCTTTTTCTTTTTTTTCTACATTTCCATGTTAATTGCAGTTGCAGAATATTTCCCAAGGTGCAGTTGCCATGGAATGTCATAATTCTTGCTGACAGCTTGGATGCCAAAGGTTTGATGCTCCAAAAGGCTATAGTGGTCCGCCATTTGGATGAATTTGCTCGGAAGAAGGCCACCAAGAATCTTGGATATGTCATGGCTGTAACAACTCTGGAGAGCATTGGAGAGGCAGAGTTAGACAGAACACTGGGGATGTGCTTTTCCCTGTTGTCTTCAGTGGAATCACCTTCAAGATGTTCAGAGGATAGATTTTGGAAGGAGTTGTACACAAGGTACTAAAACATGGAGTATTCTTTAAGTGTGGACCAATCCAAAACATCTATCTGTCTCACGTAAAAATGCCCGACTACAATTATGTGCCTGGAGAGAACGCTATCTTCATGAATGACAAGCACTCGAAGATTGAGAAGGATGTTGTCATCTGATTTATTGGAACAAAGTGGATGGAAGCAGAGAGCGAATTTCAGGCATCGGTAAGTTTGGAAGGTGACTACTTAGGACCAGTTTCCTGAATATAACTTTTGTTTCATCTTCGTATGATTCGGATGTACTTGTTACTGCTTTCTTAGGAAGTAGTTGACAGTAAGAGTGTTGGATGTTGAACTATTCTAGTTGTTGTAAATTCGATTGGACAAAAATGTTGAATTCTAGAGCTTACTTATGATGTTAGCTTTGTATAACTTGGTTCCGTTAAATTGGTTTCTGGATTTTGAAGTTTTTTAAAACTGATTTGAATCGACAACTGAACAATTGCTCACTCCTAGTCAAGTCTAGCTTTCCATTTCGAAGGGTTTTTGTTTCAATGGATGGAGCAGTAGCTAAAGAAGTAATTTGAAAGGATACCAAAGGCAAAGACTAGTGTAGATTGAAGCAATGCAAGGATGAGAAAGAAGAAAAGTTGGGACATAGAAGAGATGATACCATTATTAGATTGATCGAAAAGGCTTTGTTGCACACACAGCTATAGATGTAAGCTGTGAATATAAAGTAGTGAAGGTAAATATATTTATTTATTTAGAATCAAAATCAAATTGGTTTCACATTTCTACATTTGTTAAAGAAAAGAATTAATGGAAGTAATTGCTATGATTTAGTTAATTGTTTGTAGAATCCACTTTATTTCTCATGTTTTAGTACTTTTGCTTCTAAGATCATTCTTAGTTTCTCAATCAAACTTCTTTCTATATTTAGTTAATTCAATTTGGATAGAAATCAATAAATAAAATTTTAATAATTTTTCAAAATAACATTAATATTTTTATTTTACAATAATAATTATAACATTAAATCTGTCTAGATATGGACCTAATTCTATGTAATTTGGTTAAAAAAAAATTAACAATTTAAATTTGCTCAACTAAAACTCAAAATTATTTAAACTTGAATTAATATGACTTTGAAATGATTCGAACTCAAATAATTCGAAAATTGATTTGAAATTGATTATTTAAAATTAATATTGATTTGATTTTTAAAATATACATAATTTAAACTCAAAAATAATCCCAAACCAATAAGTCCTTAATTTCAAATAATATAAGTACATCCTGGATGATCTGTACCCACAAATCATCCAAAATTTTTTTACTCTAATACTTCAATATGAAGTAAAATTAGACACATAAAATCTGCCACCACCATATCTATAAATGTTTTCAAAAATTATTATACAAATAATTCAATATTAAAATGTCAATTCTGATGTGTGACTAATTAACGCTAGAAGATAATTGGCATATTCCAAAAAATTTGGGAAATGTATTCATCCATCGTTTGCCATTAAGGACATTATGCAATTAATCCAAAGCAAGATTGTTAGTTGTTTATCTCCTCCATTTAAACCTATAAAGAAGTTTGCAAAATTTCCTGAATATTCCCCCTAACAATGCAATCATTATGGAAAACATGCCTACAAGGCATCAAAGGCAACTTTGTCTCCAACCAAGAACTCCTCCAAACAAATGGTACATTGTTTCTTGGAACCCAAATCCTCAAGTCTTCTCCTTTTCTTCATGAGTAAAAGACTATCTTATTGTATCACCAAATTTTATTTTTTTCAAAATCTGAATAGAAGACTAACTAGCAGGCTTGAAATTCAATGTCATCAATGACTCGTCAATCACATGAATTTTTCATATAAGCCTCTGTCCTTCTATTATATCTAATTAAGTCTTTAAAAAAATTATATTTGTCTAATTCAATTTGAGTATAATTTGGTTTCATTAAGCTCTTTGTCTTGGATGAAAATTGAAAAAAATAATATTATTTCTAGCTAAATCAACATATATGCCATATTTCTTTTTATGATGCCAACATCTAAATAACATATATCGAAAATAAAAAAACTCTTTAGATGCTAATGTGGCTTATTACATAAGCCATTCGTTATATATTATGTAAATGACAGTTCAACTTAAATTTTTATGTTTTGAAATGCATAAATTGATGTAACAAAGATAATTATTGCCATTGATATGGTAAAAATAATAAATTTTAGTGATTTTCATGTAAAATAAAGCTTAATTAAATAAAAATAATGTTTTATGCTTTCAATTGGATAAAAAATAGATAAAAGTTTATTTGAGATAGAAAAGTACAACATTTTTAGCATTTTAGTAAAAATAGTACAAGTTAAAAGTATATTCTTCAAAATCGTCACTCAAATCTATTTCAAGTATACTCAATATAATTACAATTAAATTTTCAATGATTTCAAAGGTAGTGAATGATTAAAGGTTAAAAAGATGAAATTGTGAGAAATAATGTGTATGAGTGTGTATAAGAATAAATGGCGAATAAATAATAAAATCAAAAGATTATTGTGTGAAGATGTGTTTATTGTAATTTGGTGTGCTCACCAATTATATTCTTTGTTTGTTCAAACAAATAAAAAAGTGATATTAGAATTGCTGTAGCATTCCAAAGCGAAAGTACTGTAGCAAATCAGTACTGCAGTAGAATATTACAACTGATATTGAAAGTCAAAATTCTAAGTTTAGCCATTAGTTACATTTCAAAAATAAGAAATTTTGAGCATACAAATTGAGTGCTTAAACACAGCTATTCTATATCACAACTAATTCACTACAAAAGCCTTATTACTAAAGTGCTTAAACATTTCAATACAAAGAAGAGAAAAAGAAATAGATTGAAAGCAAATACACATGCTTAGAATTATTATTCAAATTGTTAACACCTTAAGATTAGCCACTACAGACTTCATGATCCCACAATTCTCCCAATTTTATGATTGAAAAAGGATTGGGCAATGGAAGCGATTGATGGGTAAGGGCTTGAGCAACTTGTCGCATGGTTGGTCGAAGTTGGGGACTGCCATTCAAGCATGCAAATGCTAGCTTTGTAGTAGAGACAACATCCTTGGCAACTTGCCTTACCGGTGGTGAGAGGCGTTGGTCTATCACATCTTTAAGTAAAATCAGTTGGTTATCATTTGGTATTGATGTCGATGTTGATGCCAGTGCCGATGACGACGATGGTAAACATGAAATCAAATCACCAGGATGCCTTCCCATAAATATTTCCATTGTTAGCACTCCAAAACTATAAACATCACATCTCTCGTCTACTTTCATCGTATAAGCCAACTCTGCTTAAAAAAATATATCTAATCAATCTGCTCTATTAAGCAAGAAATACATCTTATCAATACACTATTATGTAAGAATAAGGAATATTGAGAAGATTATTAAATAATGTTGAAAAAAATTGTAAATATTTAGAAGATTACTTGAAAATTGAAATTTATAGGTTCGAACAAAATTTTACATTTAGTTCATCAGTTTTGATATATTGAATATTGGAAAATTAAGTGTTAAACTTCAAAGATTAATTACACATTCTATACTTGAATTATAGTAAAATTCTTAATTTGATACTTAAAATTTGAAAAGTTACAATCATAATAGTACTTGAACTTTGTTTTAACGCGTCAATTTGCACACAAAACTAATAGTTTTAATTGAATGATGACATGTTTAAAGTATCTTAAAAAAAAAGATATTAATAAATACCTGGAGCTATATACCCGAAAGTGCCAGTAAGTGAGGTCCAATTAGAGGAGTCAGGCCTTAAAAGTCTGGCTGTGCCGAAATCTGAGACATGAGCCTCATAGTCCAAATCTAGAAGAACATTGTTGCTGGAAATGTCTCGATGAATTATCGGCGGTAAATGGTCATGATGCATATAAGACAAGGCATTGGCCACTCCTTTTACAACATTTAGCCTCTTCTCCCAATCCAACTCCATTGCCTCGTCCTGGCTGCTTAACACCATTCCCAAACTTCCCCTTTCTACAAACTCAAAAACCAAAAATGAGTTCTTTGGATGTGAACAAAAGCCATACAGCTTCACAATGTTACGATGCCTTATTTCTGATAAAGCATGAATCTCGCTTTCAAAGGCTTTCAAGTTGCTGCAAATCATGCTATCTTCAGATTGGTGAAGTTTCTTCACAGCAACCACCTCACCAATGGGTAGCGCAGCTTTATAAACAGTTCCATAGCCTCCTGAACCAATGCATTTGTTGGAGCTGAAATCTTCAGTGGCTTCAATAATGTTCTCATAGAGTATTCTTCCATTATATCCCCACAACGTGAAAAAATCTCCAAGTTTTGCCTCGATTGACTCGGATTTTCTGGTTTGGTTTTTTGAGCGAAGAATAAGGAAACTTCCAGCTATGATAAAGAGCAAAAGAAGAAGACCAAAGAGTGGAAGCACAATGAAAATGATGACTTTGGTGCTTTTTCTAGCAGCGACAGCACAAGGCATTAGTCCAGTGGCCTTTCCACATAGTCCCTTATTGTTTCTTAAGGCATCAAATGAAGCCTCATGAAATGCCTTAATGTTAGGAATAGGGCCTTCTAATTGATTGTAAGATATATTCACAACAGTCAGGCTTTGCAAATTATTAAAAGAATTTGGGATGGAACCATTAAGCATATTGTGAGAGAGGTCCAATGTTTCCAAGGAATGTAATTTTGCAAGCTCTTGTGGTATCTTCCCAATAAGTAAATTCTGACTTAAATCTAGATTTTGAAGGCCATTTACGTAGCTTACTGAACGTGGAATGCTTTCGTTCCAAGTTTATCTCTTGCTCAAATTCAAGTTCAATAACTTTGAGCCACTCTCCAAGTTGATTAGGAATTGGTCCACTCAAATTTGTTGATGCCAAGTAAGATGTTCTACGATTTGGTCAAGAAACTCCAATCTTTCTGGTGCGAATTTTGGCCTGAAAAGTTGGTTACCACTTACGCAAAAGTTTTGTACATCAATGTCAATGCTCCCAATTCCTGGGAATCTCACCATGAGATGATTGAAGAGACATCGATGTTCGCGTAATGAGTTGGCCAATGGCTCAGCTAGGTGGCTATCTTTCCAGAAATGTTATTATTGGAGATTCGTAGGCTTGTTAGATTATGGCATTGCCCCCAGTTTGGCGAAAGTTCTCCATAAAATTTGTTGTTGCTTACTGCAACATAAGTCAAATTAGGATATATACCAAAAGCTTCTAATATATTTCCTGTCAATTGGTTTCCGTCAAGCCTAACTCTGTACAAGCTTTTGCAGTTTCCTAAACTTGATGGTATCGGACCCGTCAAATTGTTGTTGTTAGCCCCAAGATATAGGAGTTGTCCACTGAGGCATACATTGTCAGGTAATGGACCACTAAGATGGTTGTCTGATAATTGTAATGATTCCAAATGAGTAACATTGCTAAGTGTTGGAGGAAGGAAGCCAGACAAACTGTTCTGAGATAAATGAAGTTCGGTAAGATATACAAGCATCCCTATCTCTTGAGGTATTGACCCGGAAAGCTTATTCTCATGAAGGTCAAGACTAGACAATTTGGTTAAGTTTCCTATGGAAGCGGGGATTGAACCAGAGAAATTGTTATCGAGATAAAATAAGTTCTCTAAGAGATACAAGCATGCCTATCTCTTGAGGTATCGACCCAGAAAACATATTTTGTTCAAGGTAGAGAGTGGATAGACCGGTCAAATTTCCTATGGAAGCAGGGATTGAACCAGAGAAATTATTTTGACTCAACTCAAAGACAGTGAGAGATTTAAGCATCCCTATCTCTTGAGGTATCGACCCAGAAAACATATTTTGATAAAGGTAGAGAGTGGATAGACTGGTCAAGTTTCCTATGGAAGCAGGGATTGAACCAGAGAAATTATTTTGACTCAACTCAAAGACAGTGAGAGATTTAAGCATCCCTATCTCTTGAGGTATCGACCCAGAAAACATATTTTGATAAAGGTAGAGAGTGGATAGACTGGTCAAGTTCCCTATGGAAGCAGGGATTGAACCAGAGAAATTATTTTGACTCATCGCAAAGTCAGTGAGAGACTTAAGCATGCCAATC